AATCATTTCCCACTTTCTAAATGAACTTAAATACCTGTACAATTAATTTGCTAATTGTCATATTAATTATTAGATAATGACCATTTTTGATTATTGACAAATTCGCAAAAATTTTAACAAATCCGCCAATTTAACGTTTTGTTTTTAATCAAAAGACCAAAAATATTATTTAGTAACTTCGCAATTTCCTCCAAACAGCTAAAAACAAAAACAACACATATACATTTTGAGGAAATATTAAGATTAATCTTTTCAATAAACCCCCTATTAAATAAATAAATACAAACTAAAATAAGAAGCCATTAAGACTTTTTATATAAGAGTCATTTGGCTTCTTAATACTTGTACACATTGATGTGCAAGCAATTATGTTTGGAAGAGGAGCTTTGCTCCCCTGATATAGAGGAGCTCAAGAGCTACTCTTTCCAAACATTTTCGATGTGGGATCAAAATGATCCAACACCATTTACAAAGGGCAGCCCGTGTTGCTCCCCCTTGTTTTTTTTTTCATTAATTTTATTTTCTCTGTAGTTTTGTTTTGATTATTATTATATTATTAATATCATTATTATTGTAATTTTATTCTATTATTACATAATAATAATAATAATATAAATCTCATTTAAACTATACACTTATTATTACATAATTGTAATTATATTATTATTATGGTAGTGATTAGCTTGATTACCGTAATAATTATTAATCAATTAAAATATTATTTGTGTAATTATTAGCTTAATTATCATTATAATTATTAGCTTAATTATCATTATAATTATTAGATTCGTATAGTAATAATTTGGGAGGTATAAAAAAATGTTTTTTTATATATAAAAATTAAAATGTTGAAGTATACAATTTTACTCATTTTCTTGTTCAATTATGTTTGGAAGAGGAGCAATTGCTCCTCTTGTATAGAGGACCTCAAGAGTTCCTCTTTCCAAACATTTTCGATGTGGGATCAAAATGATCCCAAATCATTTACAAAGGGGAGCCCTTTGTTTTTTTTTTTTTTTTTTTTTGTTTTTGTTTTTTGTTTTTTGTTTTTTGTTGTAATTTAAATTTTTTTTGTATGTAGTTTTGTTTGGATCATTATTATTATTATTATTATTATTATTATTATTATTATTATTATTATTATTATTATTATTGTTGTTGTTGTTGTTATTTTATTTTATTATTACATTATTACGTAGGGTTTTAATTATACTTGAACAATATATATATAGATTAATTATTACGTTTTATTCTATGTTATAATTTTTACGTTAATATTCTTATTATTATTAACACTTGATTACTTTTAGATATTATTATTACCACTTATATTGTTGTTATTATATTATTATTATATTATTATTATTATTATTATTTTCCTTTCAAGTTCTGTTAGTATATAATGACTGTGACGCACAATAGTAATATAACCCTAATTAAATATTATTGTATTCTATTCCGTGAGACACAATAATAATATAACCATAATTAAATATTCTTGTATTCTATATTCTTCAAGGATTTCTATTACCATAATTAATTATTCCATAGTTTAACATAATTAAATAATTTGACTAATACAATGAGTTTGGGTGGGAAAATGCTAGAAGGAGGATTTTACTTTTAATTATATATTATATATAGATAGATTTAGTCTGGAGCTTGTGGCGGGGCTTGAGGAGGCCCGCCGCTTGGCTCCGCCAAACAACGGTTCAGGGTCACGGCCCTTGCTATGGGCCGTGCCCTAAGGCCGCTTCTCCACGGGGCTAGCCAACGACTCCTTCCTAGGGCGGTTGGCTAGTCCCGTGAACTTATCTGGTGCACACTGTCTATGCATTAGATGTGTTCTTCTTCACCTGTTAATGCAATTTCAAGAATTTAAACACTCCCAAATCATCAACAATAGATCACTCAATAACTCAAAGATAGCCAAAGTCTAGCATTTCTAAGCATTTCAACCACTAAATAGACTTCACAGAGTCCAAAATAAGCTTATGGGAGTCCATAGGGTTATACCTTTGTAGTTTCCTTCTTTTGGTTGGGATTCCACCTTCTTCCCAAATTAGCTACACCCTCCTTCACCTCCTAAACATCTCAAACAAACCACACAACAACCTTACTACTAAGTCCTCAGAGAAGTAGGATAGAAGGAAAGCTAGAAAAAATGGAAGGCTAAAACTTAAAGAAAACTTATTATGATTTTCCATTTCTTCTTGCAGAGCTAAGGTTAGGGAAGCTAAGAGTGGAAACAGGAGAAAACAAAGGATTACTATTCCTTTTATATGGGTTCAAAACCATAGGAAGATAAACAATGATTGGTGGAGGGTAGATAGGTAAAAGCTTGGCAAAAAGGTTGAATCAGACAAGGTGTTTGTATGCTTGTGGTCCACCATGCTTCATGAACCAAGGTCAAGAATCAAGATTTATAATAGTTTGGGGTTAAGGATGAATTTCCCAAAAATGATTTCTAGATGAACGCTTGATTTAGGCTTCTCAGATTTCTCCCGGTTTCACTCAGAATAATTTTCAGTTCAAAACTTGGCACGCAATGTACCCGGAAATTTATGGTTTTTATGAATAAATAATTCTCGGTGTTGAATTTATTTAACAAGTCACTCAAAATAATTTATTCAAACACCGTGTTTAACGCGATTTTTTTTTTTTTTTTTTTTGTAAGAGTGAAAATTGGCTATTTGGAATTTCTTAAAAGCGGATTTAGAAAATGAAATTTTGGGTTGTTACATCCTACCCTCCTTAAAAAGAGTTTCATCCTCGAAACTGCGATAGACAAATAGAAGGCTTTCGAATTTCAAGAATTAGCTCACAAGTTTTCTTGGAATACGTTGGAAGCTTAGGAATCTCTGAGTCCCTAGTTACTTTAACTAAAACTCCACTCAAAACTAGTCACGCAAGCAAAACTACTAACTGAACTTTAAAGCATAACGGCTTACCTTGATCAAAGCCTCTTGAAGAACCACTTGGTGCTCAAATTTGGCAAAGCCATAGTTAACTTGAGTGCTCAAATTGTTAAACCTCATATTGATCATCGCATACATCTCTTTGTAGGTATGCCCTCTAAGCCCACCTACGTGTCCTCCTTGTGTCCCTGTTTGGGGTGCTGCAGCTTGCGCTTCCTCATTACCAGTGCCCATTTCCTAATCAATTCCCGCGGCGTTTCCTTCACTGCCTTCTCCAGCTAGCTCATCCGCTTCAATGCCCACACTGGCCCATTTCCTTTGGGGTATGTTCAGAGTTACCACAAGTGCCAACTTCTCATCCATAGGTTTCATGGAAATCTGTGTCAAAGTAAGGTATTCGTTGTTGACGGTTTGGTACAACTCATAGAATCTCAAATTGGTGGCATTCAGAGCCGTCTTGGTGGTCATTTGTACTCTTTCCCCTCTCTCAGGCAAGTTCATCTTAATAAAAATCCAACTCAACAACATGCCGTAAGGCAAATGCTTCCTGTTCCTTGTCTTGAAATAGGACATGTGCTTGAGCATCAAAACTGGCAAATTTATCTCATACACAAACCTAAAAAAGAAAGCAATAGTACAGGTCTAACTACCATTCTCATTAGAATTGTTCCTACATGGGAACAAACATTCCTCTATCAATAGAACCAACAACTTCTTCTCACCGTTCAAGGTGGATTTCTCAGGCCTATACTCCTTAGGGAACTCTTCCCTTCTACCATTCATATACCTCAGGTACTCAAGTCACGGGTCCTCCTCCACAAGTAGTCCGAGGGTGATCCTTGCCACACCTCGAGCAAACCATGCTCCTCACACTCGATAATCCTCTAACTCCAGCTCCTTGTCCTATCATCGGATTCCTCCTTTCACCACTTCGGTCGTCATTTCTGGCTGCAGGATTGAACCTATGCCCCTTGCTTGACTGTGAGTCATTGCCCTCGCTCTTCTTTTTCATCCCATGCATGGCACTCCGGTGTAGTTGTTGGATCCTGGAGTGACTGGCAGCTACGTCATACACCTCATTCAACGTGGTAAACTTGGCCGTAGTGAACAAATTCTGAGCGTCATAGTGCAGTCCTCGGACAAACTTTCGGGCTTTGCTAGCCCCGTCCGGTGCTATGGTAGGAGCAAAACGAGTCAATGCCACAAAATGGGCGTGATACTCCTGAACTGACAAGCTTCCTTGCTCTAGATGCAAAAACTCCTCATACTTTGCAACTTTGACATGCTCTGGATAGAACCTCTCTCTCAACACTGTCTTGAACATCTCCCAATCGAAACCTTCTCTTTCCTTAAAGGTTGGTCCCTCCATCACCCACCAGTGATCAGCTTCTTCTTGAAGATAGTACACTGCGGCTTCCACTCGCTGGTCTACCGGACAGCCAACTACGTCGAACAACCTGTCGAACGTGCGGATCCAACTCTCAAGGATCTCAGGGTCCTCCTGGCCCAAGTAGCTCGGTGGGATGCGTCCCATGGTCTGTGTCAGCTGCGTAAGCTGGTGTAAGCTCTTAGTCAGGTCAGTGGAAGATGATGCTCCTGGTCCCGAGGAACGAGGAGTCTCTTCTCTAACTCTTCGAAGTGGCATCGCGATATCCCTTTAACATTATCAGAACAGATCATCCTTGTTAGCACATCTAAGAGTTAGCTTCATCTTAACTTCTCTATTCTTAAAGCAAGGCTTACAACAAGTAAAACACAAACAAGCACAAGTATAAACTCTTACACTTATTCACTTAGCAACTTTTACAAAGTTTTATCTTTCAAGCCTTGTCTTTCAAGATTTTGAACTTATAGCTTTCTTAGATTTTCACTTTCAACTTTAAACTCTTGGTGTTTCACTTTCAACTTCTCACTTTTAGCTTCACTACTTTACTTTCAAGAAGATAAACAAGCTGTACTTTAAACACACTGATAAAGCACATAAATAGTTAGGTAAGCGTAAGGAAACTCACAACCTCACCGCGTTCCTAACTGACTCTTAGAATACTTCTTAACTTAAGCTCTTACTCTTAGTCATTGAACTTAAAGTCTCTTCGTGTGACACCCCAAAAATCCACATTCAATCCATGGATTAATTGAGTAATTAATCCTATTTTATTTGTGGAATTATTTCCTAAAATCCTGATTTTTAATACTCAAGGACTAGTATTTGACTAGTCAACCTTAAAGTTGTGTTGTACCTTGACCTTTGAGGGGAGTTCCCTTGTTCCTTACACATTCTAAAGGTTAGTAAGGGTATTCTTGACTTTTCACCAAGAGTTAGTATTGTAACCTAACCTAGAAGACTTCTTCATTTCATTCCCTACAATTCTTAGAAATTAGCTCTACCTTCTCTCTAGAAAAGAAGTGTAGCTTATTCTCTAAGCCAAGTTGAGACCCTTGTCAAGATTCCAAGATTTGCTTCCAAGATTCAACCTTTCACCTATTTGGGAATCTAGGAGGGTAAGATCTAAGTCCATCTTGTGTTTTTGGTTCCATCTTAGTTGTCTTTTTCTTAAAAGTATGATCTTTATGATCTTTTGGTTTGATCTTGAAGTGGGTTTGTATAGTAAGCCTTGTAAAGAGCTTATTGAGGTGTAAAGTGAAGTCTTTTGGCCTACAAGAGGTAACCCATGCTCTACTAAAACCTATTTTGCTTACCTATATGTGATTTCTTGGATTCTACATGTGCTTTGCTATGACATGTGAGGGTTTATGCATTTGTCTTGTGATATTGCATATCTAGAGCTTGTGTTTAGGGTTCCTTTGTGCCATTACTTGGCATTTTCTATGATTCAAGTCATTTTGTTGTGTTGGGTGAGATTTGGCATGTTTTGGACTTGAATTTGTGTTTGGAGAAGAAAATCCCCGATGGGATTTGTTGTGGTACAAGTGTGTACCCGCGGGCGGGGCACCACCAGTCGGCCTACCCGCGGGTACATGGCCTTGTGGGATGATGTTCCCGCGGGCGGAACCATGGGTGGGGCACTACCCGTGGGTCCACCCGCGGGTACATGGTTGTTGTTGTGATGGGATTTGTTCCTCGTGATTCGTTTGACTCGGTATTTGGTTTTTTGACTTCCCGATTTTCTTTTGTGGAACTATTTGAGCGTCTTCTTGATGTTTCGTATGTCTAGAACTGTATGGTAGGTATCCATGTAGGACTTGGGTGTCTTGAATCGTGCTAAGTGTTCAACATTGTGTTTCGTTTGACCGAGAGGTGTCTTGTGTGTTCCTCGGAACTATCTTGAGTTTCTCAGTTGTTAAGCATGCTAGTTTATTGTCTTAATGCTAGCGTGTGTGTGGTTTGTACATTCCGTTGGGTTGATGATAACTTGTGTTATTCATCGTTGATGTTGTTGGGCTGTGACCCGTTCCTTGATTGAGTATGTTTCGTACCTTCGTTGTGATCCGTTGTTTGACTCTTGTGGAGTTGTGGTGCGTGTGTGGCTTTACCTGGATTGCACGATTAGTGGTATGGGACACTAGTCACCAAGGTATTGCAGCGGTCCTCACGGTGGCCGTGGCGTGATTATGGAGTTGTGGCCTTTGTGTAAGGTTCACGTTTTTGGGGGATAACAGGTGTTATCCAGGCATGTGTGCCTGGTGCGTGTGCGGTACCTCGTGTACTATGAATTTGTTGTTTTTTTGGTGGTTTGTTGGTGGAGGACGACGGTCCCAGGAGGGAAAAGGTTGGACTTAGATGTACAGGGGGTCCTGGAGGTAATGGTTGGAAAGAAGATACAAGGTTGGGGGTAGCCATAAGGTTGGAACAGGGCATAAGGAAGGCATATCAACTCGTGGCGAGTGATGCCACGAGGGTTTGTGTAGCTGTGGTTGTGTGTTCTCTTTCTTGTGACGTGTGTAGTCACAAGGGCATGTGTTGCCATCGGTCTTGTCTTTATCCTTTGCGTTGTGGTTATCCTTTGTGGTTTTGGGATGTGTTCCCGTGTAACACCCCCTAAACAAGCTAGATGAAAAGCCTTAACACATGCAGATTATACAACAAAACTAGCACAGCGGAAGATAAAACGAGAATTGGATAAAAGAAATCCTAACGGGGTGTTACGCCACGTCTACCAAACACGGTAAACGCTACGGCGATCAAATCTGCAATGTGTAAACATCTATCCCAAAGACATCAGTCTAAAACTACATTGGCGCACAGGCCACAAAACAAGGATAAAGGTACTAAGCTACCGGCCACTAGACAACGCGCTCGTCTAGACATCACCTGAAAGATACAAAGATAAACATTGGGACGACGCCCGGTCAGCGATAATGCTGGTAACCAACCAATACATGTGAAATATCATGCATAGGTAAGATATACATTTGCAAAACCATTTTCGAAACGGAATACATATATATAAGTCAAAAACCAAGAGTAATAGTCAACACAAGACTCATCGCTCACAAAGATAACACGGGAACACATCCCAAACCACAAAGGTTAACCACAACACAAAGGATAAAGACAAGACCGATGGCAAGACATGCCCTTGTGACTACACACGTCACAAGAAAGAGAATTCACAACAACGGCTACACAAGCCCTCGTGACATCACCCATCACGAGTTGATATGCCTTCCTTCGGCCCTGTTCCAACCTTATGGCTACCCCCAACCATATATCTTCTTCCAACCGTTACCTCTAGGACCCCAGTACAGCCAAGTCCAACCTTATTCCCCCGGGACCGTCGTCCCCCTCCAGCGACCACCAACGAGACCACCAATTCATAGTACACAAGGTACCGTACACGGCAACACATGCCCGGATAACACATGTTATCCCCCAAAAACGTGAACCTTACACAAAGGCCACAACTCCATAATCACGTCACGGCCACCACGAGGACCGCTGCAATACCTTGGTGACTAGTGTCCCATACCACTAATCGTGCAATCCAGGTAAAGCCACACACGCGCCACAACAGGAATCAATCAACGGATCACAATGAAGATATGAAACCATATTCAATCAAGGAATGGGTCACAGCCCAACAACAACAACGATGAATAACACAAGTTATCATCAACCAATCGGAAGGTACAAACAACACACACGCTAGCATTTAGACAACAAACTAGCATGCTTATCAACGGGGAAACTCAAGATAGTTCCGAGGAACACACAAGACACCTCATGGTCCAACGAAACACAATGTTGAACACTTAGCACGATTCAAGACACCAAAGTCCTACATGGATACCTACCATATAGTTCTAGATATACGAAACATAAAAAAGACGCTCAAATAGTTCCACAAAAGAACAACGGGAAGTAAAAAGACCAAATACCGAGTCAAAAGAATCACGCGGAACAAATCCCAATCAAACACCACCATGTACCCGCGGATGGACCCACGGGTAGTGCCCCACCCGTGGTCCCGCCCGCGGGAACATCTTCCCACAGCGCCATGTACTCGCGGGTAGGCCGGTGGGTGGTGCCCCGCCCGCGTGTACAATCCTCTACCACAAAAAATCCCTCTGGGGATTTTCTTCTCCAAACACAAATTCAAGTCCAAAACATGCCAAATCTCACCCAACACAACAAAATGACTTGAACCATGGAAAATTCCGAGCAATGGCACAAAGGAACCCTAAACACAAGCTCTAGATATGCAATATCACAAGACAAATGCATAAAACCCTCACATTTTATAGCAAAACACATGTAGAATCCAAGAAATCACATATAGGTAAGCAAAATAGGTTTTGTAGAGCATGGGTTACCTCTTGTAGACCAAAAGACTCCACTTTACACCACAACAAGCTCCCCACAAGGCTTACTTTCCAAACCAAATTCAAGATCAAACCAAAAGATCATAAGGATCCTACCTTTAAGAAAAAGACAACTAAGATGAAACCAAAAACACAAGATGGACTTAGATCTTACCCTCCTAGATGCCCAAATAGGTGAAAGGTTGAATCTTGGTAGCAAATCTTGGAATCTTGACAAGGGTCTCAACTTGGCTTGGAGAATAAGCTACTCACCTTTCTAGAGAGAAGGTAGAGCTAATTTCTAGGAAATGTAAGGAATGAAATGAAGAAGTCTTCTAGGTTAGGTTACAATACTAACTCTTGGTGAAAAGTCAAGAATATCCTTACTAACCTTTAGAAAGTGTAAAGAACAAGGGAACTCCCCTCAAAGCTCAAGGTACAACACAACTTTAAGGTTAACTTGTCAAATACTAGTCCTTGAGTATTAAAAAATCAGGATTTTAGGAATTAATTCCTCAAATAAAATAGGATTAATTATTCAATTAATCCATGGATTGAATGTGGATTTTTGGGGTGTCACATCCCGTATCTTTTTTTATGAGTGTTGAGTCTTGATTTGACGTTTACTCTTGGTTTTACACTTATATATATGTATTCCGTTTCGAAATGATTTTTGTATATACCCTACCTATGTATGATATTTTTACAGGTATTGGTGGGTTACCAGCATTATCGCTGACCGGGCGTCGTCCCAATGTTTATCTTTGTATCTTTCAGGTGATGTCTAGACGAGCGCGATGTTAGTGGCCGAAAGTCTAGTATCTTTACCTTTGTTTTGTGGCCTATGTTGTGATACCCCGAAAATTTTAAATTATTTAAGTAGGAAAAATGTTTAATCTTCATATTTAAGAAAAATAAAATTGGTTATAATGAGTTTTGAACCCTACACCTCTCTTTTATAATAGCAAGATCTTTACCATCAAACCATTACAACTTTCATGTTATTGTCCACATTTGATGATATATTAGTGAAACTATGTTATGGTATATTCCGTAGATTATGTATGTAACATATATATGTAATTTGTATGAAGTATATGCTAAACATTAAATAAGATTTTGTTATACATATAAGATTAGGAATGTGGTCGTGATTTGTGTCCAAGTTCATTTAGCATGTGGATAAATCTTGGTCAACTAATTAGCACTCATCACTCCCTAACCTACCTTAATTCTTGTTAATAATTTCTCCATCACCTTTATTTTTCATTATTAAAAATTATCATTTCCTTTTTATTCATGTTGACCAAGACAAAGATATTTCTCCTTCATCTTTTTCTTCTTATTGGTCGTAACATTCCCCTTGGTTTTCCTCTCATTATTGGCCGAGAAATTTCATCTCACTTTGGTCTCTCCTTGGCCGAAACTTTCATATGTAAACATAAAATTGTTCCTTCTTCTTCAACCATCAAGAGTTGATCAAGTCTTCTTCCATTTCTTTTCCTTTGCAAGAGATCAAGAGTAGGCTTTGAAGCTTTGTTTTGAGGAATTGATTACCCGGTAAGTGGTTTTTCTTCATTTTACTTTGCCCATCTTTGTTTTTAAAAAAATGAATTTTTGATTGGTTGAAAGTTATGAATGAAATGAATTATTTTATGAAATGATCAAGTGTGATTTGGAAATGTTGGTATGATATTGGCATGATGTTGGTATGATGTATTAGTCGAAAATGTACTAGTATGAGATTTTGGTTGGTTGATTTTGTGGTATGAATTATATCTAAATATATTACCGTAAATGTTTTCTACAGGAAAAGTTATTATTTTATTTTTATGTTACACCGTATGATTCTATAAAAAATAGTATAATGCATATAATAATAATCTCAATGTAGTTTATTTTTACAATGAAAAAATATATATACGTACTTTATAAATAAAGTAATAATAAAAATCTAATTTATATAGATATGTAATCGTATATATATGTACAGTAATATAAAAAAATTATTTAAGAAAAAAAAAAGGAATTGCCGTATGTATACATATATCATTTATATATAAAAAAAATTATTTATTCTTTCAAGAGCCAAGAAATTCCTTCAAGCTAAAGAGGAGCCTTTGAATTCTTAAATGGCTAAGAGAAAAATTAAGTGAAACTCTCTTCAAGTAAGTGGTTGTTCTCTATTTCTAATTTGCCCAAATTAATTATGAAAATGATGAATTGTTGGCTCTTAATTATTTACCTTATAAAATGATTTAAGTGATTATTTGGAAATATTCTTGTGTTTGACAATATGTACTTTTATTGTGATTTGGGCATAAAAAAAATGTGCATGTTTTTATGTGATTTGTTGTTATACATTACCGTATGTAAATATGTATATAAATGAACTTTCCATACTCATACAACAAAACAACAAATATATATATTTATATAATAATAGTATTTTTGTTTAATTAGCATGTATATATTTTATTATATATGCATAAAAGAATTTAAATGATTAGTAAAAGTGAAATGTTGATTTTAGTTGTTTAAATTGTGATGTAAAACATCTATGTTGGTGTTGAAGTGAAGGAAATTTTTTTTGGAAACCTATCATGGCGGTATAATGTTCTGTAATTGGCTATGGGAATTTATGCCCATTTATATTGGCTATGAGATTTTATACCCATTTATATTGGCTATGGGATTGTATACCCATTTATATTGGCTATGGGAATTGATGCCCATTTATATTGGCTATGGGATTTTATACCCATTTATATTGGCTATGGGATTTTATACCCATTTATTTTGGCTATGGGATTTGATACCCATTTATTTTGGCTATAGGATTTGATACCCATTTATATTGGCTATGGGACTTTATGCCCATTTATATTGGCTATGGGATTTTATACCCATTTATATTGGCTATGGGACTTTATGCCCATTTATATTGGCTATGGGATTTTATACCCATTTATATTGGCTATGGGATTTTATACCCATTTATTTTGGCTATGGGATTTGATACCCATTTATTTTGGCTATGGGATTTGATACCCATTTATATTGGCTATGGGACTTTATGCCCATTTATATTGGCTTTGGGATTTTATACCCATTTATTTTTGCTATGGGATTTGATGCCCATTTATATTGGCTATGGGATTTTACCCCCATTTATATTGGCTATGGGATCTTATGCCCATTTATATCGGCTATGGGATCTTATGCCCATTTATGTTACCGGATTTGTGATTTCGTGCCCATTTATGTGATTGGTGATTTTCCATAAAAACTTGTATTTACTTGAAAAGATAAATCAACTATTTTTAAAGCACATATCGGTTTTTAAGTAAGCCTTGTAGCTAATTATTATTGTGGTGATATTCTTCAAAAATGATTATTCGTACGTGAAAAATAAGTTAAATATTTAAAGGTACATTTTGATGTGGTTATTGGTTGTTGATGAAATGAAGAACATTTTGTAAGTGATTTTGAAAGAAAAGTTATTTTTGAAAGTATTGTACCTTATTTTGTTTTAAATTTTGTTTCCGGGCAAAGTAACCCTTACTTAGCATGTTTTGCTAATCCCCACTGTTTGTTATATGTTTCTTGAAAAAAATGTGAACAGGGATTTATGAGGCTTGAAGTGAAAGAGCGCGTTAGAAGAAAAATAAAATAAATGTAATAGATGTAATTGAAGTATTTGACGGTTTTGTGATTAGCCTTGCATCTAGTGTTGATAGGTTAGATGTGGCGGTAGCACCCTATAAGTGTTAGAATTTGAATTACAAATTATTTGAGACTTGAATTGAACAACAATTTATAAGAAAATTTACTTTTAGTAATTCTATTTATATTATGTTTTGAGTTGTAATGTCATTTAACGAAAGTTTTGGAAGTCAAATTTTGGGGTGTTACATGTGTGCCGTTGTAGTGTTAGACTGTTACCTTTTAGGTTAGATGTATACACTTGTAGATTGATCGCCGTAGCGTTTACCGTGTTTGGTAGACGTGGCATAACACCCCGTTTGGATTTCTTCTATCCAGTTCTCGTTCTTATCTTCCGCTGTGCTAGTTTTGTTGTATGATCTGCATTTATTAAGGCTTTTTATCTAGCATGTTTTGGGGGTGTTATAGGATATCTCCAACAAGAAACTTAAATGGGCAATGCAAGAATGTGGGGGACTGGAGGGAAATGAGGAGCAGGAAGAGGATAGCGAGCCTAATCCACCGGTACCTGCACGAGCAAGAGGAAACCCAAGGGGCCAAAGTGATGAATCCGTCAACGAGCGCATCCTCGCACAGCTCACCCGGCAAAACCAAATCATGGACGAAGGGTTCTCGTCCCTAATCCGCGTGACACGTGCTTTGGACCAAAGGGTGGCAGCAATCGAGACCATATTGGGCACTCGCGGGGCATCCAGCTCGGGAGCAGGAAACCAAGGTAGACCCAAACTTTCCAAATCACCACTTCACCAGAGATCCAATCTACCCCAGCAAAGACAACACGTGGGGGCCACGTTCCTAATCAGGAGGCTAAAATACGTGACCTCCAGGGGTGAAGGAATGGATCCACGCACTGGCTTCGGGGACGAAGCCTCTTGTAAGGGGGGGGGGGGGGGGGAGAGTGTAACAACCCGTGTTACGACCCCAAAAACCAAATTAATTAATTAATTAGTCACCCTAAAAAGGGAATTAAAATCCATTAATTAACTAAAAGGGGGTCCACCAAAGTCCATGGACCCTTATCCCTAAAGCCAACCCCTTAGTCCTATAAGGAATGAAAGTGGCAAGCCCATACCATTTAGAACCTAATTAGGACTCTTAGGTATATAAATAGGGACATAAGAGGCACCTAGAACCCACACCACAATAACTCTCACCACACAAGAATTTCCAAGAATCTCCATGGGAGAAATCAAGAGAGAAGAAATCTTAAAAAAAGACCCTTCATAGCCAAGGAAATTAATTAAGGCTAAGAGGTAACCCGTGTCTCAACAAAACATATTTTCTTTGTTATAATCTCCTTCTTTGGCTCCCTCTATATACTTATGTCTTGATGAATTCCTTTATGATAATCATGATATAATCTTATTTGATTGACGTGATGATTTTATGCGTGATCTTGATATTAAAAAGAGGTTCTTGATGTTTATGTGATGATTCTTGATAAATCTTAATGTTTCTTGATGTTAGAGATAACATATGATCTTGATAATTTGGATGGGAATTAGAGCCCTAGGTCGGATTGGGAATTTGAATTGTAACGTCCTTGATTTATATTTGGGTGGGAATTCACATGTTCGGGTGTTGTTACGTTTAGAAGTCATGTTAGGGTGTGTCCAATATGATTCTTGCTTTTGATCCGTTAATTGCCTATGTGGTGTCGTTATTTGCGTTTGAAAGTATCTAAGCATGGTTTCGGGTTCCACAAAGGATCCCGGGACACGTATTGGATGAAAGAGTCAGTGGGGCGTAGGTGGGGGTAGGGGACTTGCCACCTACCCGCTGCCCGAGAATCACCGCCAGGTAGCGGACAGCCGGCGGGCAGACGCTTGACCGCCGGCCACCCGCTGCTAGGACGATCATCACCGGCTACCCGCTGGTCTGTTACCCACCCTGGGTCCTCGGCTTCCCCGTTTGATGTTGCCCGTTCCCTGTGGTGTCCCAACGGACCCCGTTTGTCGTGCTTGAGTCTAGTTTGATATTTCGGGTGCCATTCGTAAGATAAAAGAGTCTTAGGAATTGCATGCTAGTGAATCGGTAACCCGTTGGCCTAGGAGGAGAATGCATGAACCCCTTAGGACTACTCTTAGTATGTGAATGATCACACGTAAGTTTATTTATAAGTCTCCCCCTTTCGAATGTGCTATTATGTGCTACAATGTGTTATGTGATGCATGATTCCCCAATTTGGTTGCGATCAAATTGGGTGTTCCTGAGGTACGGTTCAGAAGTTGGCTGCGGTCAAATTGGTTTCTAATGAGCTGCGGTTCATTTTCCTGGCTGCGGTCAGTGATTCACTTCTTGGGCTACAGCCCATGGGCCTCGTGTGCGGATGGTCCACCGACTGGACAAGCCAGCAGTGTGTAGGGCCACCAGCTTGAGGAA